GAAAAAGTGCCTCAAGGTGAAACATAATGTGAGGGATAGTAGCTAAGTTACGGATTTCTACTCACTGCTTGTATAAGGTAGAAACTGCAGATGACATGGAAAGGCAAGACCATGTGAAGAGAGAGAGAGAGAGAGAGAGGGGGTTTAACGTCCACTAGACACAAACTAGGTCATTTCGGGACTAACATATGATTTAATTTTATTTCAATAATTCGCTTGCGCGTAGAGGTCTTTAGCAGTGGGAGGAAACCGGAGGACCCGGAGAAAACCCACGAAGTTGGACAGGCGACCCAACTCCTTGCCACGTACAACCGGGGATTCGAAACCACGCCAGTTGACTCAATGACAGGCCTTATGGTACAGCACGCACGTGCTAACCATTCTGCCATCCAATCCCCCGTGAAGAGTCTGGTTGAACAAGACTATTTAAAGAACTGATTGACTAAATAAAGTAAGACCCAAAAAAGGATGAAAGAGGCTACTTCTAAAAGACTATTATATATATATAAAAACTGTAAACCAAATATACCCTACTACACTTGCAAGTCAACTTGTACACGGGAACCCGGTTTTTCGTCCAATCCGAAAGACTAGACCCTATCCTTGGCAAGCCCCCCGTCCTGCACCATTGTCAAGGGGAAACTCTGAAAATCCCGAGGAACTTTTTCGACCTACACCAGGATCGAACCTCGGACCAGCTCATAGATACATTGTCCAGCTGGTTATAGTGAACCAGTACCTTAATCAGTGAGCCACCACGGCCCCCACATTGTTTATAGAGAGAGAACGGTTATTGGCGACTTTTGTTGTATACGTAGTTTATATTATTTATTATAAACAGTACCGTTCCGAAAATATAAACGAATCTTGCGTTGCTTAAAGATTTATTGTTTTGAGAACCTAAGCTGTAATAGCGATATTATCTATGGAAGATTAGATAAAGAGTTGGCAGTTCTCACTATAATAGTAAAATGCTAGATAATGTAAAGGGAATATATTGAAGTCGGTATGATAAAAAAAACATAGTCTCATTATCCTTTTTTGTATTAAATCATCAATGAGCGTGGGGCAGCAAATCGGATTCAAATCCAGTGAAAATCCGACGCATTTATAAGATGGCATCGACAGTTTATTAAGGTCTTTTCGTGTTAATAAATGTCTAATTAATAGTTTGTAAAACATCTCTGGCCCAAAGAAAGGCCTGCAATAGGAAGATTTAGCTCTTGAAAAATGTATGTTTAAACTATACTAAAATAAATTTAATAGCTAGTGGGTAACAGTGGCGTGAATTTCAAATAAGTACGCCATTTGCCGTTTTCAAGGTCATAGCCGGCACAGTGCTGTAATTACGATAATAATATATCTAAACTACTAAAATAATAATTTCTATTGTCATAAATTTAATAGCTGGCGGGCAACAGTGGTGTGAATTTTAAATAAGCACACATTATTTGCAGTTTGCAAGATCATACACCGGCGCATTGTTATCTTTTTTTATCTCGCCGCTGTATTCAATTGGCTTCCATCTTTGACTGGTTGACAGAATGCTAATGTTAATTTCACTTGTTAACGACATAGTTTACACCGGGGTTAAGTAAGGAGGTGTCCTATAGGTAAATCCGGCACTAGAAATAAGAAACAAATGAAATGAAATGGGGTTTAACGTTCTACTGTTCTGCTCCGAACTGGGCTAATGAAGACGGGCATACGCCATACAGTGTGCTATGAGGGAAATTTTGCCCGGACAGCGGCACTACGGTCTACTCTTATATCGAATTCCAACTGTCAAAGGATCTGTTACGTGCACGCCAATGTGTACACGGGACATCGGTTTTCGTCCCATCCGAATGACTAGACAGCTGTCCGTGCCAGGCCCTCCGTCCTGCATCGCTGACAAGGGGGAATCACGCCGGAAAATCTGGATGAACTTTCTCGTTCAATGCCACCCCGTGACCCTCGACATCAGAAACATCCAATAGAAATATTATTAAACTCAATTAACCCAATACACAAACGATTTTTTAAAATTTTTCATGGCATTATATTGGTTGCTTAAGTTAGTGCTTGGGTGTGTCTGGTACAAAAAGACCGGAATAAGTGACAATGATATCTGTCATAGCGACGTCCGAGAAAAGGGTCTCCCCTCTCAGGGTTTAGGGGGTCCGGGGGTCCTTCCACGAGAATTTTTTTTTTTTTTTTTTGAAATTTCGACCTGAAATGGTGGCCTGTGGAGTATATCCCGTGTGTGGGGGGGGGGGCATATACTTAGTTCTAAGCAGAAAAAAACTATCGCAGAGAGCGAGGGGTCCAGTGGGAAAGGGGTTCGCGATTCTTGTCAAGCGAGCTGGTTGAGTGAAAAACGGGGGCCCGACGAAATATTGGACAATTAACAAGACCGCTACCTGTCAACCAGAAATAATATTTCGGGTTTTAGGTTATGGAGACATTTCTGATATCAACTTCTAGCTGCCAACCCAACCAATGTGGAATCCTTGATATCGTTTTTTTTTTCTTCTAACCGATGCCCCTTGGTGTCTCCCCTACCTAATAATATCAAAATTCATCGAAAAAAGGCCACTATGTTTCACGATTTTTGGGAAATTGGTCTTCATTATCTTTTCTACGAAATATAAAAACAAAAAATATTTTTTGTCACCAAACCGCCGGGCCCAAGGCATTTGCCTCTGTTGCCCTCGCCATGATCCGTCACTGCTCCTCCCCTGGAACATTTTGAAAATTGGACGACCGCAAACGCATTTTCTAGCTCAGAAAATCGTTCTCTCGCAAACTCTGAACATAAACATGGACCCCACGACAGTGGGCCATTGGGCAAGTCAGTACAAAATATATGGCAGATAGGTGTCAGAACAAAATATATGGCAGATAGATGTCAGAACCAATAATATGAGACTGGGTAACACGTCCCCAAATTAATACTCCACATGATGATCCCTGACTGCTGTCTATTACAAACAGTAGGTGTTTTAGAACTATGGACGGCTGGCTACAGGGCTGATACACGTAGGTCTCTATATTGCGATTTTGCCAGTGTGGAATTCACAATTATTAATTTGGAATGTTCGTAAAAATATGTGTATACAAAATACATGTCGCATTTCATCTCTTTATTATCTTCAAATTTACCTAAATTCATTTTTCATCCATTTCAAAACCGTACACGCATTATCAATGCTCTTCTTCCAAATACTCGTTAAATATTCGAATATAAAACTATTCTACAATGCTATTGTATATAGACTTTTTGGAGGATCACGGTGGCTAAGTGGGTAAGACGTTGGCTCGCTAGCCTGGAGGTCGGGTGTTCGATTCCTGCATTGGTGGAGAAAGTTCATCCAGATTTTCCGGCGTGGTTCTCCCTTGTCAGTCATGCAGGACGGGACGGGACGGGGCGGGGCGGGGCGGGGGGCTGACAAGGACAGTTGTCTAGTCTTTCGGATGGGACGAAAAACTGAGGTCCCGTGTACACATTGGCGTGACAGTTGGAAGTCGATATAAGAGTAGGCCGGTAGTGCCGCTGTCCGGGCAAAATTTCCTTCATAGCACACTGTATGGCGTATGCCCGTCTTCATTAACCCAGTCCGGAGCAGAATAGTAGGACGTTAAACCCCATTTAATTTCATTTTATAGAGACTTTGGGTTGTTTTTTTTTTGGGGGGTTGTTTTTTTTTTTGGGGGGGGGGGGGGCTATTTTATATAGTTTATGAAACCTATAAGTCATACTATTATAACGTCGTGGTTTATATGAATACAGGACTATTATTATGAAATCAGAGAGGCGCCTTCTGGTACACTCCGGAAATATTTTTAAACCAAGGAACAGTTAATGTCAATCGGACTCCCCAGTTCGCGTGTACCTCGATGTGATATATCGCTCAAGGAAGGGAAATTTTGATCAAGAATATAAAGTGTCATCCGACAATTACTGATTGATCGCCGAATGATCCATAACTCATTTAATGTGCCGGGTACAGTAATCTGGACAGAACATATAATATATGTTACATTTGTGGAATAATAATAAACCGTATTCTGTAGATAAAACCGCGTCAGTGCATCGCTAATTTGGTTTTAAAATATATCTACGGCAAATTGTCTCTTTAAAATTACTAAAAGACGAAGTTGTACAAAATATCACGCTTTAACACCCGCTGATGAGATATACTGTGCAATACCATTGATGTTCCACATTCGTCTTCTGTGCGATATTGTAGATGTGCGTGGCATATCGGACTGATAATACCCAGTTATGTAACAGAATTGAATGAGGAGAAGCGTTATGTAATTAAAGTGGCCATGGGTGTAAACGTTGGTCAATAAATCATCTCTTGCTTAACGCACAACGATCTGCAAACATTAAAATGCGAAATGAGAGATTTTAATCTGCTCCTTTCCCGAAATTAAATAAAATTCCAAATTTCTTTTTGATTCATCCAATAATTAAAATGGAATTTTTAACAGAAAAAAAGAATATATCTTTTGTAGTATTGTGTGTTTATTTCCTTAACAGATCCCACGTACATACTGTTTACAATAAAAAGAGATCGGCACAGAATATATATACATGTACGTAAACTGTTAACTTTTGTGTGATTCATTGTCAATTAATTGGTTATTAGAGCGTTTTTATTTATCATACGTCAACGGTGTCGCAATATTTCCGCGGGAATAAAAGTATACTTGACCTCATATAACCGCGGCCATTTCAAGGGTTGACCTTACTCCCCCGACATAAAAAAATCACAACATTGGAACTCACATGACAAGTAATGAAGATTAATAAACATCATGGTCCCAACATCACATATATTTGTGGATGTTTAGGTTTTTACTCTAACTACCCTAATTTTTCACTTCTGCTGCTTCTAGTGTCGTTATATTGACGGAATTACCCAAAAAGAGAGCGAACTTGAAGCAACAGCGTAAGGTTAAACAGATTACAGGATGCAATGCGGTTCAATGCATGTATTCATGCTCTAAGCTTTGCAGTGGGCAGGAGAATGGTGTTATTAATTGTACACATGTGAACTTTGTAGTTCAAAGTCCAAATATATGGCTTTTATACCAAAATACCTCAGTTTTCACCTTGCGATCGGGTTAATACTACATCTTGTGCAAGGTAAGTCTTTTACTCATTCTTCACCAAAATCACCAATGTTGAGTATAAAAAAAAACCCTCCGCGGTTCTCTAGAAAACATGGCGCATGCCCCGGACTATAACGAGGGCATTTAGTGGTCAGCTATAGTTTTGCCAAAGCTATTGTCCACGGTATTATTGTTGCAGTCGATTGTCTAATCACCGCTTAGTAATTTCATATCAGCTCACATAAAAGATTAGGTTATTTGTAGTGTGCTAGAAAACGAGAAAGCTGTCATTTTATTGCTGATATCTTTAGTGGGGGCGTGTTAAGAAAATATGCCTTTTTTAACAAACAAATTCTTTTTGGCCATTTTTACTGACCCAGATGAGCTGCCAAATAGTTCATAAATATTAAAATGTATTGTTGCTGTTACCAGTTGTTTTATATCATGCGTTGTTATTGATATTTACGTGGCAATCTTGAGCTGTCATCTCACTGAACATAATGATAATGTAATCGTTCGCATGTTTTGATTATATTATTCGGTAAAAACCTACAAATTATTCTACATTTTGTATAATAAATGGTAGCTACGTTTTATGGGACAGTTATTGAAGGACCTTTATATATTTAGTTGTTCTTGAAGGCGTTTTATGTGGAGAAACAACAGGATTATGTAGGTCGAGGCTGAAGCTTCAACATTGTTTTCGCTCTATTTCCTCTTATTCATTGATTTGTGCGTGACCTCGGGGAAGCCATGTTGGTTCCTGAACTGTTTTTTTTTATTCGTTGAAGACTTTAATAATCAGCTATATGAATTCTTCCATGGCTTGTCATTGAATGTGCTCTATCATTAATCACAACCCATTTTATTTGTACATATTGATGATTAATGAAAATAAAAAAAAAACGAAGCAGGGCTCCATTTCTGGTAAAACCAGCCTATAGAGTGCACGGCAAAGTTGCTGACCTCCGTTGCTCGGCGCACGGCCGTGAGGTCACTGTTCATCATAAATAACGAAGAAAATACTCGATAATTTTGGCAACCAAACAAGAGCTTAAGAAATACTACAAAATGTTTGTCATGAATTTAATAAAACGAACTATGCTTTGTAATTAACAGTAAATGTATCTCTTAAAAGCGAAATTATATTATGTCACGTTTGATTTAGGAAAAATGTGACCTTCACTTTGAGTGTGACCTAAATAATATAAGAATAAAAAAAAACCAGTTGATACCCAATACATTATTCTTTTCACATTTTACAGCACATATTTTATTTTCTGAAATTAAGAAACCATACATGCATCTCTGTAGATTTGAAAAGATTGATTTAGTTTTAATGAAATATAAAGGAGACAATAAATGAAAAATTGAGTGTGTTAAATTAACATATTCCCATCATAGAATAAACATTGTATAATAACATGTAAAAAAAATATTTATAGAATATCATTTCTATTGATAATAATATATTTAAATATAGTATAGTATTATGATGCATAATGCATGTCAATATTATGCGAAACATTTAAATCATTAGATTTGCACAGTATGGTGATAAGATTTATATACCATATTTATGTACATGTTTACTTTCATTTAATTGATCTACATGTATATATTTATATGCAACAGAACAACAGAAACCGTTAGTATGACAATTGTTGTCGTTAGTATGACAATTGTTATCGGGTGTTCTTAAAATAATTTTACCCTGCCAATAACACAACACCTGTTACTACATTAATTACATGTATAGCAACATAATACATGTAATATACAAGAAGTGTTTGAAAGTATATTATTGTATTGATTATGCATCTATGTTTTTTTCTGATATTCAATAAATTGTGTAATTTACAATTATATCTTGAACAGAAATCAGAATAGAGTTATGTAATAAAAGAGATTTCATCATATTATTATGTACATGTATGGTTATGATTTTCATATTCCATAAAGATACTGATTAAAAATTAGTAAATATTTATTATTAAACAATAAATGAAGTGATAAATTCCATAGGAGATTTTTAGGAAAATTGTTTACTTTGCAAAAGTATTAATGACTAAATACTGTATTAAAGATTTTTAGACATAATTTGATTGTGTTTTTGCTAATAGATACTACATGTATTAAACTTATACATGTAGTGAAATATAGTAAGGGCAGAGGATATTCGCCATTCGAATGGCAAAGATATTTGCCATTCGTTTACGTTATTTGCCATTCGTTTTCGTTATTTGCCATTTGTTTTCGTTATTTGCCATTCTTTTTTTTAATTCGATATTCTCTGTCCTATCACGATGTCTGGTCGAGGGGTAATGCTACCAACCACTAAAACTAGTTTAACTTCGTCATACAAAATGCACATACATCATTTTCGTTGCAGTAAAAATGCGAAAATTACTACTACAACAAACCTTGTTTGACACAGTGCCATTGGAGGTCTATTTATAGCCTAGCGGTGACTACCCGAAAAAGTACTGTACTTTATGACATGTCTTTGAAAGGTTTAAATAAGACAAAATAGTCTAAAGGCCCCTACGCGCAAGGGAATTATTCAATTAAAAAAAAATGGAACCCTATATGTTAGTCCCGAAATGACCTTCTCTCTCTCTCATTCCAGTTTCATATGAGGAAAATTTTGCCCGGATACGCCAATGTATACACGGGTCCTCGTTTTTTTCGTAACATCCGAGCGACTACACAGCTGTCTTTATCAGGCCCTCCGTCCTACACCACTGACAAGGGGAAATAGCCAAAACAAATTATGATCTTGCTTAAAAAATATATTGTTTAGAGTAGGCTACACAGCAGAGACGCTTAAACAAACATTCATGATTCCCGAAAAAAAAATGTCACTGTGTATTAAACTGACATTAAATGTTCTAAATTTTATGCCGAATTTTAATCCCTCAGTCAATTTTAAGAAATTACGATCTCATCCCTGGCTGGACGTACGCCTATGTGAGTAGATGTAAATGAATTATATGTTTGACAATAAAACACACGGTTGAAAAAGTAATGTAGGCTATGAGTAGCAAATGAATACGGGATGCCAATAAAGAAATGGCGGGGGGGGGGGGGGGGCAATGGTTAGCACGTGTGCGCTGTTTCAAAAGGTCTGTCATTGAGGTCTCTCTCTCTCTTTCTAAGGGGGGTTGGATGCCCGAATGATTAGCATGTGCGTGCTGAATCGTACGACCTGTCATTGAGTCAACTGGCGTGGTTTCGAATTCCCGGTTGTACGTGACAAGGAGTAGGGTCGCCTGTCCAATCTCGTGGTTTTCTCCGGGTCCTCCAGTTTCCTCCCACTGCTAAAGACCCCTACGCGAAAGCGAATTATTGAAATAAAATTAAACCGTATGTTAGTCCCGAAAAGACCAAGTTTGTGTCTAATGGACGTAAAACCCCATTTCTCTCTCTCTCTTTCTAGTTTGAAATGGAAGGTATAAATAGAAATATACGGGTGGCAAATATAACAGCAGTTGGAAATGAAATGAAATGGAGTTTAATGTCCTACGATTCTGCTCCTAACCTGGGCTAATGAAGACGGGCATATGCCATACAGTGTGCTATGAGGGAAATTTTGCCCGGGCAGCGGCGCTACGGCCTACTCTTATATCGAATTCCAACTGCCAAGGGATCTTTTACGTGCACGCCAATGTGTACACGGGATCTCGGTTTTTCGTAACATCCGAACGACTAGACAGCTGTCCTGGTCAGGCCCTCCATCCTGCATCACTGACAAGGGGAAACCACGCTGGAAGAAAAGTAAAGAGTGCCATCTACTAGTACATAGGGGACAACATAGATCAGTGAATTTTCAGTTCATTTTTAATATTGTCGTTCCCCTGTCCGTCGGTCGGTCCGGCTCTAGGGCTCAAGTTAATATCTGTTTGATTTTACATTTATACACAGTATTTAAGGTCATGAGACGAAGAAAATTGCTGCTAGAGTTATGACCCTTGATCACTTTGAAAAATCTTGTGGATGCTCTAGAGGCTAACTTTAATATCCGATTGACTTTAAATTTATACAATGTTTAAGGTCATCAGACGAAAAGTCCTGTTGATTTTCAAAAATTTCCGAAAATTGCTGCCAGAGTTATGGCCCTTGATCACTTTGAAAAATCTTGTGGATGATTCGATATAAGAGTAGGCCGTAGTGCTGCTGTCTGGGCAAAATTTCCCTCATAGCACACTATGGCGTACTGTATGCCCATCTTCATTAGCCCAGTTCAGAGCAGAACAGTAGGACGTTAAACTCATTTTCATTTCATTTCACTTTAGAGACCATAGTTACATGTACATTGTAGCCCAAAATGGAAATTTCTTGGATTCTGATTGGTCGAAAAGTGGCGTGGAATGAGTATAACAGTCCTCTAAATTTCCTGGGCGACTCACTGCGAATGAATATTTTCTGGGTGCTAGACTCGGTTTGCAGTGGCCAAAAATTCTACACCTTAAAACTTTATTCCAGGAAATCTTCATGATTTTTTTCTTGTATGTCATCAACAATGAAATTCAACCATTGGCTTATTGAAACACACACCTGAAACACACACAAAAAAAGTTAGTGAGTGTATTTGAAAGATAATAAGTAAATTTAATTTCAAGGCTGGTCTGACAATAATAATGGTTGCTATGGACAGTATGGTCACTCGATCATAATCAGACTGGTCAAAATCGAAGATTTTCAACAAGTGAATAAATATACTACAATTTATTGAACTCCCTATGGACCGTAATATATTTTTAATAATATACAAATCAGGCTGATACTACTGATATGAATAGGACAGAGACTAATTTTCATACAGATACACAGGCCAGGGTTTTTTTGCGAAGAAGAAGCATCATATTCACAGCGTCGAAATGACAACGTAAACAAGCATACATGTAGCAACCACATGCGTACGCTACACAGCATCTATCTACACTGTCACACGAGTTTATGGACATTTATCAAACATGATATGCAATTTATTTCGAACCTAGTCACTGCTGCAGTTTAAAATCATTTAAAAAGTACATAAAATACACTTACGTTTTCTGTTTAAATCTTTAAAATTATCGCAGAGTGACCTCCCTTTCCAAACAGACACACATATCCAGTCGCTTTGTGAACCAAATAGAATGGAAATGAGTGTTCATCTTATTACGTCACGGATATTTTCATTACGTCAAAATTGTTTTCCTTGGTATTTACGTCATTAAAACCAAAATACTACCATCAACTATCGCCAAAGAAAGAATTCCAAGAAAAATGTTAAATATTTTGGGCTACAATATCGATAAACACCTCCCGTTTAGAATTTATCGGACTGTTATTGTCCATTTGATACCACTTAAATTTTTCATGATTTAAGCGGTATCAAATGGACAATAACAGCCCTCTAAATTCTAAACAGTCGGTGTTTATCTCCTAATTGTATCATCTGATTGATTTTATATTTATACACCATGTTTACGCTGACATGTATATATAATTGTTTCAATTGACTTTAGGTTGATACACAGAGTTTAAGGTCTTGAGACGAACAAGTACATGTGTATTGATTTTCAATGATTTTTGATAACTTCAGCAGCTAAATCCATGATGTATACTGATGATTTTCGGATAATTACTTAATGAGTTGTTACTCTTAATCAGATTTTAGTGTATTGTAAATGTTTCATTACCGACAAAAGTAAAAATATGCAACAACTCTTGTTGACTGCCCGGGCGATTTAGCTGCTGTGGGCGTAGGTTTTGTTGCCTGGCAACCATCTTTGTAAATACTGAATAGTATTAACCATTTTTGGACGGATATTGCTATTAAATTATTGCAGGTTTCAAAGGATTCCTTTATCGCTCAAATCACGCTCAGGGAACTTAATAAAATCAACAAAGATAGTGAAAAAACGAAAAATCCCTGCCAGACAAAATGACAGGCACCAGACGGGATGGTTGTGACAGGTGCTTTATTGTCAGGCTTGGTTTTGTAGATTATATTTAATGAACAACTCAATTTTGTTATGTAATAAAAGTACATATATTAGTCAGTATAAAAAGATAGTTGCAATTTATTACATTACATCAGAACAAGGCTATTAGTCAGTGATATTTCATTTTCAACCTTTTTTTGTATACAAATAAAGTGACCATATCCTATTGTTTTCCTGATCATGAGCAACTGGGAATCTTTTTGCAATGGAGTCGATCTGTTCCTCGAATAAGAGGCCTGGCCATGAAACGCAGTCATCTGACAAATTAAAATCGTAGTAAAGAGAACTACAATGTACATCATGTTTGGAACCAAACCCGATATACATGTACATCAATAACTTACAAAATACATACATGTATGTCAGTATTTATGGAAACTTGAAATAAATGTCCAAGTTCCAATTAATGTTAGTAGCCTTGTTATCCAAATATTTCCTGTACTGGTTTGTTTATTTAAACAACATATGTATTATTCTAATTGGTAAAACAAAGTCACTTATTGAATTTCAACAAATCCTGTTAATTACTTCAAGAGTTATTGTCCTTGGCTTCACTTTGTAGGTTCTTGTGAACACTCTTTATGATCACTCTTTATGATTGCACTTGCTCACTTTGTAGAAAATAAAAGTCATCAGCTGATCTACAAGTACTTTAAATTTTTCTCTTGCTTTTGACTATTGCAATGAATAACAGTTGTAACAATTTCTGACAATTGTTTGTTACATTTCGAATGATATTATACATTATAAAGGTTTTACGTTTTATTTACATGAAGATTCACAATGTGACAGCCTTAATCTTGCTTGGACAACATAGCTGCTGTGGGTGTATATTTTGCTTTCTGGCAACCTTCTTTATATTGTATTGTTATGTATACACATATATACAAACATCCCAATGAGGAAAAGGTTTAGAATACAACTATAGCATTCTGCTTTACTCTCCTTCAGTTTAACGATGGGGGGAAAAATGGGTATGATGGGTTCAATCAAATTCTTCTTAAAGCGTTTTCTTGTACACCAGATTCAGCACTCGGGATGCAATTAAAAGTGACAGAGATTGAATCAAGTAAATGACGCTCAGTACATGTACTTCATGTCCTTCAGTTGCTTATCACAGAAATGAAGCACATGTAAAAGATTGTTGTTTTTTTTCGTGTTTGGTTGTAGTGATCCTGGAGTATTTTCAGTTTTGAAATTGATAACTCTGCAAAAGAAATTTTTCAAGATGGTTTTCCAGAAACGTACATGTCATGCATTCCAATAATTGTTTCTGTGTATAATTTCAGGAAACGAAGAAATCAGTCTTGGTGTTGACTTTCATCCAAGCAAATATGTAGAAATAGCTGTACAAAAAAGTTCCTTCACTTTAAACTGTTCAGTGACTTCGACGGACAAAAATCGTCCGCTAACATATATTTGGCATAAAGATGGAGTACCCCTGACCTCACAGCAACGGCCAGTGATATTAAACAATGGATCTCTGTATATTAAAAGGATCCGTAAAAATAAAAAGTGGAATGATGAGGGGAAATATCAGTGTATTGCCAGTAATAGTATTGGTAAAATTTTAGCTCCTGTGATTCTGTTAAAAATCAGAAGTAAGTATAGTGTTTTTATATATTTTTAAAAAATAAAACATTACAGTGTGCAATATACATAACATCTATGTACAGTATTTGTTGAATTCAAAGATGATTCCAACTAATGATATTGACTGCATTTTATTTATCCACAATATGAATATCATTCTTCCATTTAAGTGTATCAGAACTTCCTATGATTGCCATCATTGGGGATTGCTTGGTAATTATGCGTATCAGAGGATTAATAACATGTTATTGTATAATAAACAGTATAATAATCAAAAAGACTGACCGATGTATAATCCAATATTGTATATTTACACACCACATCAAGGGTATTGACCTTAAATCAGTGAATACAGTGGGAGTTTTATCCAACATTCCTAGTATAAAAAACATTACTCTTTTAGAAGCTGTAGTGATATTCTAAGAGATTATTTAAGATGTACATTTACATGAAATGTACAGTGTACATCTATACAGTACATTGTTCTTAAAGATGTGTGTCATTGCTTTAACTTTGGTACAATTATTTAGTATGTAAACTATACAGTGTACATATGTAGAATTAAAGGACAATATTGGTGCCAGTCATTATCACATATGTGTTAGAGCTGGTTAAACACATTCCAAATATATTTTTAACACAGAGATCATTGCTACGATAGCTGAGTAATACAGGTTTCCCGTATCGGAAGTGACGAACGTCAAAGGAAAACACGAGTCGCTGCTCTATATAACTGACTGAAGCGACGAGTGATAACAGATACACGGCCGAATTTCTACTCACTAATAATTCCTTCCAAGACCAAAAGTTGTTATATGGGACTGTAAGAGGATACATGTATCTGACAATTCATTACAGTAATTGAATGTCATTAGATAAGAGAACACGAGAAAAATAGAAATGGTCCGTACATTTCCTTGTTTATATTCATTCTATACCTTATAAAAACATGGTAATGCACAGACTTTTTCTGTTTTTATTACGTGTTCTCTTATCTAGTGGCAGTCAATTCTTTTTATGAATTGTCAGATATCCTCTCGCAGTCTCACACAACAACTTTTGGTCTTCGAATGAATTATTAGTGAGCAGAAATTCGGACGTGTATATGTTATCACTCATCGCTTCAGTCAGTTAGATAGAGCGGTGACTCGTGTTTTCCTTTGGCGTTCGTCACTTCCAATACGGGAAACCTGTATTACTCAGCTATCGTAGCAATGATCTCTGTGTTAAAAGTATATTTGGAATGTGTTTAACCAGCTCTAACACATATGTGATAATGATTGGCACCAATATTGTCCTTTAAAGACATTTATATATCATTGCTTAATCTGACAATACATCATTAATTTCTTTGGAATGCTCATTATGATAACATATACAGTGGACTCTGTCACTTCCAACATCAATACTATGGAATTCTGTGAAATCCCTCATTTTCATGTCCCAATTTATTTCCTTATTACTTCAACCCAAGAAATTTTGAGTAATCCAGATTCTGAATATTCCAAATTACGACATCAATTGGCGGTCCCATCACACGATTTGCGTACAATTAACATTGGATAATCCGGCCTTCAATCAGTGGGAATTAACGGACAAGCAGTCACCAATCAATTAACTGTGAGCATAAAACACCTGTCGGTCTTTGTTGATTACCTTGATGATTTTATTTTATAATCTCTTGGTAAAAGTATTCAATTGGCCGTACTGCAGTATCCAACATTTTAAAGCGAAAAGATGAATGGTTTAAGGGCATGTACAAACACAACCTGTCGGTCAATTACATGTAGTTGGCCAATTGTAAGGCTTGGATGAAAAGTGCTATTTAGTCAACTTTAGATGATTATATATATTCAAAGTAAATTGTTACGCAATTGTTTGATATAATGTAATAAAATTTTGAATGTACAGAAAGCGTTATCAAATTTTAAGTGCTGTGTATACGAGCGTGCATAATAATAATACTTAGGTATTCGAAGTTACAATAATAATTCCAGTATAATTAATCCGGCATACATGTATTGTATCGATCCTGTACAATGTCGGAATTGACAGTCCACTGTACACGGAAAACTGGTACAAAGTTGTTAAAATGCTATGCGAGGAAAATACACATCAATGTCCATAACCCCCAAAATCATAAATAATGATTTTTAGCAATCAAAATTCACATTATGATACTTAAGGGTACTTACATGTACAATGTACATGTTTGTCTGAATCTTGTGTGAGAGAGAGACAGACACACACACACACTGAACACAAACTGTACAAGTACAAGTACAATTAAAAAAAATGTACATGTATCTGTATAATTATTTATTTCAATAATTCACATGGGTGCAGTGATCTTAAAAAATTGAGGGAAACTGGAGAAATCCAAGAGATTAGAAAGGCAATCCTGCAACTTTGCATATTACATACATGTACCAGCATGATATTAAAATCACATTCACATGGATTGATGACTGGTCTTTTGATCTAAAATGCACGGGGGTTGGATGGCTGAATGGTTAGCGTGCGCGCGCTGTATCATAAAGTCTGTCATTGAGTCAACTGGCGTGGTTTCGAATCCCCGGTTGTACGTGACAAGGAGTAGGGTCGCCTGTCCAACCTCGTGGGTTTTCTCCGGGTCCTCCGGTTTCCTCCCACTGCTAAAGACCCCTACGCGCAAGCGAATTAATGAAATAAAATTAACCATATGTTAGTCCCGAAATGACCTAGTTTGTGTTGAGTGGACGTTAAACCCCATTTCTCTCTCTCTCTCTCTAAAATGCACATACACAATGTATCAGACCACTCGATCATTGAAACCCCTTGTTATTTAAGACAAAGCACTTAATGCAGTTATCATTCAATGGGATATATATTTATAAACTGAGTAACTAACCATGTCTATAACTCTGGTCTGTTCTTGAGGTTTCATCAAAAATATTTTTACTGTATAATATTAAAGTAGTAGTCTAGGTTATACAGTGGAGTACAAACTGCCCAACAAAAATAACAAAACAGCATGTACATGTACATGTGATATACAGTATGTTGCATCAAACTACTGAATTTAGATCCATATTGTAATGATTGAATTTGTGATCAGATTTACTAATTATAGAATAATTAAAGGAATAGACGTTTCAGAGGGGAATTAACATGAATATTGCCCAAAACCTTGGACCCTGGTCACTATCTTATAGTTTGGAAAACTGTTAAGAACAACGGTGGGTACAATGCCATATGGTCAGAGCCCTACACTGGCTACCAGACATACATGTAATAGACATATGAAATGGTGTTTAACGATTTTCAACTGTCAGGGGATCTTAAACGTGCTGGCAATGCCAGTGGTATACAAAAGATCTCGGTGTTTCATACCATCCTTGCCTTTAAAAGAGTTTATTTTTAGTAATTTGAACTTAGTACATGTACTCATCTTAAAAAAAATTTATGTACATGCATCAAGGAAAAATAGTGATGTCAAGATAGTGAAGTACAGTGTTCCAGAATAAAAAAGCCCAATCAATTGTACGACTAAGCTAGTAGGATACAAAATTCACTGTTTTTATCATACTACATGTACATGTATCTACAAAACCCATATTAAAGAGTTTATTTGTAGTATGAAATTGGTACTCCACTTGAAAAAAATTGAAATGTATGCACCAATGAAAATATGAGAGGGTCAAGACACTGGAAAAAGATACCAGAATGAAAAAAAACAACAATTGTTCGACTAAACTAGAAAGTTGTAGAGTTTCCCTGTGTTTATCATACTCTCTACAATATAATACACACATTGAGAGTCTTTGGAAATTGAATTGCTTGTAGGTTTGAGTTATAAATAGTATCTGGTTCAGGCCAACAGCTTACTCATGAAGGATTGCTGGGATGAGTTGGCAGAATGCCAAATGACCACAGCACTGACCAATAAATGATGGTCTTAGATTATAAATGAAATCCCATATGAGATCTTGACCATTATTCCAGCCAGTATTTGGATTCAGTAGATGTAGATTGAGATAATAAATATTGTTAGGATGTTGTTTGAAAGGGGGTAGAGAATCCCAGATATAAATAAATGTAGGGCAACTTTGTTCGGACTTAGTTTGAGTTCACATAGTCAACATATTTTAGATGTAATTTTATGTTAAGAAGAATTTGTAATATTATATATCTGTATCAAACAAATATTGAATTGACAGGTTGTTGGCTTATTTGAATCTGAAGAAGACTGGGACTTGGGAGGTCTATGTTGGGGCAGTTTAATCCTGATTCAGTTGCATATTTACAAAAGACGATTTTATCAACCCCCAAAATTTTTTATACACACACATTTAAATTTGGTTATCTATGGTTGTGACCCATTGTGGGTGCTCTGCGGGTTAAAGTTATCATCCAATTGACTTCATTCAATTTATGCAGTGTTTTTGTTCATCAGATAATTACTGTCACAGTTATGCCCTTGATCAATTTCTTTTTTTTAAAACCTACTGTCAGAGTTATCACCCTTGATCAATTTGAAAAATCTTTTGCACACGCTAAGAGTATACATGTACATTCTCATATTGATACACTGCGATGAAGTTGTCTTTCGATTTTTATACGCCTACAATGAAATGTGGTTGTATATTGTCGTCACCCCCGCCAGCCAGTGGTCTGACATCCACAATTGCTTGTGAACGTTCTAGAGGCTAAAGTTAATATCCGATCGACTTTAAATTTATACACAGTGTTAAAGCCTATTGATTTTCATTGATTTCCGATAATAATTGCCAGAGTTATGGCCCTTGATCAGTTAGGAAAACATTGTGGATGCTCTCGAGGCTAAAGTTAATATCCAATTGACATTAGATTTATACACAGTGATTAAGGTCATGAGATGAAGACGCCTATTGATTTTCAACTATTTTCAATAATTACTGCCAGAGTTATAGCCCTTGACCTCTTTGAAAAATCTCGTAGAAGCTCTTGAGGCTAAAGTTAATTGTCCCCCGCAGGGGACCATTAAAAT